TTTGTCTTCTGCTTTCCTTTTCTGAACAAACTGGACCCTTCAATTAATAATGCTATGATACATCAATCATCCAAGAAGTTTTTAATCAACCAAATGCCACTTGCAGCAAAATGTTGCTCRTGTAATAAAGCCTCTGGTTCCTCCTAGATAATCCCTGCGCTATCAAATATATTTGTTAACCAACCCACCATTTTCTTTTTTTTTGTCCCTTTTCTGACCTTATGGCAAATACTTATTTTTTTGCCAATATTTAGCCTTTTCTTAAGGGCAGAATAGTTCACACCAATCTGGTRGGTTTTGTGAACCTGTCCCAATAAATCAGTAAACTGGTGTGAGAGGGGTGCAGTTCTTCTTTGTGGAACATTATTCCACAGTCAAGGCAGCTGACGTTCTGCTGGCAGCACCATCTGTTCACTGCCATATTTATCTCCATGTCACATCTGTCCCTCAGCCTTGACCTTTGATCAGCAGAATTAACCAAAAAGCCACCTGAGCTCCTGACCCTTTCACCTCCCCATTCCAGATCCTCACAGTAGCTTTTAATCTGCATAGTCTCATTCCCAGTAGTGTTATTAACACCCACATTGAACATATAAGCACAGGGGAGTGTCCAGAGAGTTGGAGGAGCCTTGGCAATATTTCARTATCACCAAGGATTTGGGTTCCTCAGAGCAAACATGCCTCCCACAACGTCAAGTCATGCCAACAGATGGGTCCCATTGTCAGGCTCATCACCACTGCCATTGACAAATCTTATAATCTCATCACAAAAGTGGTGTTACTTGGTGTTCCTCATTCAACTTAATCCTTAAAAATCTTAACTACATGAGAATTTCACATTCTTCTCTTCCAACCTCTCTCCCTCCATTTTCATCACTCTTGTAAAATTATAACTTTTCTATTTACAGGGGGAAAAAAAGGCTCAAAAACATAAATAATGATTTTCAAGAAACCAGAATGTAAATTAAACTGAAAAACACTCAAACAAAATAAAATCACATATTTTTTTTTTCTCTTTAGAAAAGTCTTGGACTTTTGAAAGCATATATGAGTTTGGTAACCCCAGTGATTATTTTACCAAAAACAATGAAATGTACCATAGAATGGATGAAATGTACCATAGTCCAAGTTTACAGTGAAATGAACCCATACACACGCAGTGCATTGCCATAGACAATGTCATCCTTTAGAAACATTTCAAGGAAAGCCTAGTATAATATCCAATCAATTTTTTTGTGACTTACTGATTTGCTGCTGTGAACATGTTTCTTGTTTTAATTCTAGAGCAAAAAATTTGTTGAATTGACACATAAAAAAGAAATGGAATATTTTCAGACTGAGGTACAAATGACAGAATATTTTGTAACTGGAATTTAAGAAAACATCTTTCTTTTAAAAAAGTAGCTATTGTGTTTTGTCTTAAATGACTAATGGAGAAGCATTACTGTCCAAATCAGGAAAAATTCGAGATCTCCAATGGAAAAAGAGGGGAACAGCAGTCATCAAAAAGCAAAAGCAAGCTCCCTAAAGAAACAAGGAACCCTTAAAAATGTGTTCTTGAAGAGTGGAATTCTCATGGCAGAAATATGGCTCTTAGGGGCAAGGCAGAACACAGCAGAGAGGAGAGGTTTAGACAACAGAAGTTGTCAACATGCAGAATGAGTAAAGGAAAAGTCAGAAGGACTGTCTCTCAAAAGGAAAGAATTAGAAAAATACCAAATAAAGGATAAGTGCTTCACCTAACCTAGGATCTGTTTTCAAAGTCAACAATGATAGGGAAGTTTGGTTTGTTGGTTTCAAATCTGGCAGTGCTACTATTAAATTTAAAATGGATTTAAGGGCAGAGGTGACTGATTTGTAAAGAGACTTTACAAGAGATGATCCCTGGAACCAGATGGAGTGGTCACGGACGGTGCTCAGTAGCCCTGGGGACAAATGAGTGGCCGTGTTTAGTGCAAAGTCTACCTCAGTGACGCAGGGGAGGCGTGTGCCTTCAACAAACTCAGCACTAATCGGATTCCAAAATCTGAAACCCCTAACAAAATCACAGTCATTGGGAAGGAGATGATTAAAAGTAATTGGAAGCTTGGCCTAAATCTGGCAATAATGACCTAAAACCATGAAACAAGTCTTATTTCATGCCTTTTGCTTATGCATTTTTTCCATTCTTTCTGCTCATCTGGTTAAAGAACATGGAAACACCAGAGCAGCAGTCATTACTGAATTGGCAAGGTGGTGGGGCCTCACAGAGCTGATGTTGGTCATTGCTTTGCTAAGCCAGATACACATTTCTTAACAGCATTAAAATGTATTAACAGTGATACAATAACTGAACTATCCAAAAAATGTCCAGTCTCACTGAAATGTTTCAATAAAGGCTTCCAAACATTGTACAGGTGTTTTTTTTTTAATTCCCATGACACATGAAAAACACATTTCACAGACTGACACCTTAGAATTTGCAGAAATGTTCTCTCCAAGTTTCTAACTGAATTTGTCATTTCATTCTTTATATATTTCCATAAGTTCCTTATGTCTAGGCAATATGCAAAGGAAAAATWAGGTTCTTTGAATATTTTTTTTTCACTCTTTGCCTCATTACAATGTTTTCAATACTGAACAATTCATTGAATAGTGTTGTCAAACATCACATGAATCCTTATTCATTCAGTTTTGCAACTTAAGCAACCGTACAAATTCTCTGGAAATATGGCTGATCAGGCTTTCATTTCTCAGGACTCAACARGTAACTACTGTGTGAAAAAAAAATATTGAGAAGCTGCAGGCTTAATTTTCTCTTAGCTTTGCTTTCCCAGGGGCAGTGTACAAAGTATTTAATCACAAACATATTAAGAATAAAAAACATATAAACTTCTGCTTCAAAAGAATATTTTTCAATTTCTTTGTAATTTGACAGGCCTGTAACACAATTGAAGTTGTTTATGCCACGTGGTTTTTTTTCCCCAAACAATTTCCTTGATATTTAAGATGTGATTGTTTGCCTTACTGTTGTTCCACAAGTCATTAATGAGGATGCAGAATCCCCATTCTTCATTATCTCCAAAACATGAAAGGACAAGGCTCTGAGCAAACCATCAACTGTGACAGAGATGTTCTACAGATTTTGAGGTTAGCTAAGAAAGCAAGTCTCCTAGATAAATTCTRGAGCTAATGAAAACACTGATTATACTGTTACCTCATAGTTTCCCAACAACTGTATATAAAATTTTGAAATAAAAATTGCTATTGGTTCCACATATTTTAAAAAGCTACTTTCTTTTCTGTTGGAAAAGTATCATAAACCAAAATCTTTACAGCAATAAGCAGTGTAAAGAAACATCAGTGTGCCTTCAGTGTGTCACACACAAGGAAGAATAGCAACTGAGACAAGCCCTTTACAACAAAAGTAATGAACAGAGATCCATTATAAAGGAAATCTAAAACCCCTTTCAAGTTCAGGTTAAAAGACAAGAGAAATTAACACTATCTTCAGACAAATGAAAAAAACAAACCCGGGTTTATTCACTAGTGTAAATCTACTGTAAACCTCTGGTGGCTCAGCCATTCATAAAGCACTTTCAACAGTTAAATGCTRTCCCTTGTGACAAGAGAGATTTCCCTCAAAGCACGGGAAACATGTGTATGGATYTTCTTTGTCTACAGTATGATTCAATAAACATCAAGCAAAAATAACAGTTGTCCCTAAGTTCTCTGAAAGAACAATTAGCACTCACCCAATTTTCTTTTTCTTGTAAAATTCTTTTTCTAGTAAAATTCTGTTTTATGGTTATAGTTCAACCTACCTTGGCTTGCAGGCACATTCACTGAAAGTCTGAAATATTTCTATTTCAAGCAAATATTCTATTTCAAGCACGTCTCAGAACAGAAATTTAAATAACTAATCTGCATGTTTGCAGATAACTACGAATATTGAAATCAATACGAGGAATTGGGTGCCGGCAACGAAATTAATCCATCAGAGGAGCAGATTCTTTTTGTGCCACCAATGCTCTTCTGTCCCCAGTACCTCCTCTACCTTTGACTCATAAAATGACAGCATGGAAATTTCAGCTTCTCAAACTACCACAGTTCAGCCTGAACCATTTAAATAAAATAAAATTTCTAAATAAGATATAAAAATATGATAAAAGTGTTGACAAATCATTATTAATCAGCAAAGCCTGAGTTACTTTTAAACACTGAAATTTTGAACCCATTACACATATATGGACAGCTCGTGTAAAAGACAAGCAAGTTCTATTTGCTGTACAAATATATCTGCACACAAATAAAAAGGGCTATTTGTGTGCAGCATATTTGCCTAACTCTCCTGAAAAATGAGAGTTTACTGTTTCCAAAGTTGATCTTCCATTGAGAAGGAACAGACCTGCTGAACACAGATTATTATGAGTAACATGAATAAATCACCAGCACAGGTAAGGAGCTGGGTACGGAAAGCATTCATAAATTCCTTAGTTTCTGTGCCACACAGCACTCTCAGTAATGCTCAGAGCAGGGTGTGTATGAAATATTCATCTGTGCTGCTGCCAGCACCTTGAGCAGAAGCGAGAAGGACATTGAGCACCACGTGAAGGGGACACAGCAATTCACTCCTTGGCTCTGTTTCAGAGCTCACATCCTCACTGCTCTCCCTGGTGCTTCCTTCACCCTCCCAGGGCTGCACTGCCACCGAGGGGCTGACAGCCACTGCTCTGGCCCAGGGCTGTCCTCAAGGAGGGTGGCATGGATTCACACAATGACAATACAATACCTGTCRTCAGAAAACAGAAATAGAGGGTGTGTTTGGTTGGTCGGTTGGGTTTTGCACTTGAAAAAGCTTTCATTACATTAATTTTTTTTATGCAATGGAATCTTTCGAGTGTATTCTGGTGTTAGGTGCAAAAAAGCCAGGTTTTACAGAACCACAAGCCGCAAAACCCGACCCCAAAGTGATGAATACTTTTTGATATAGAGCAAATTTGCTTTATTCATATGCTTTATTTAATCCAGTCACTGTGTCTTTTAATTCAATGTTGAATAAAACATTTCTTTGAAGATGTGGAAAGAAAAAATGAATGGCTATTCTGAATTACAGTGTAGAGAACACTTCAAGCATTTATTTTGACAACTTATCCATTCACATCTTCAGGTGATATATTATTATCTGGGTTTACTGAACCATAATGGCAAATATTATAGAAATAGTCCAACTTGCACAGAAATTTAACTGTAGGGGTTTTTCTAAATATGATTCATTTATGTAAAAAGAAATGTAAGTAGTTATTCCAATGAGACAGAAATACCAGGAAATTTTGAAAGTTTTGATCAAGTTAAAAAAAAAAAAAAAAAGTTTAACAGGTAAGACAAGAGTTACCCAAAGGTGCATCTTCAAACCAAGGTTAGTGCACCTGAGAATAATAGTGCATCTATGAAAATTTGAAACAGTTAAGTATKTGTACTAAGATAGATATTTATATTAGTTAAAAATACAGAATTTAAACTATACCACACTTTAAAACAGAAAATACTCCAAATTTGGTGCATACATATATTTGCCCTGAATTTCAATCATGAAAATCTTGGGTTGCAGGATCAGGCCAGTGGAAAAGATCCTGAAGCTGAATGAATTTCAGCCAGCATAASAAAAGGATGAACAAATCTGCACTGTGAACCATCCAGTTAGAATAGAGAAAGCACCAGTTCTGACTTTTTACCKTCAATATTGGTTTACAATGTGAATAACTCAAATGATATTTAAATTTATTTTCAGATTATTTTGATGACTATCTAAAGAAAACAAAATGCTGTAGTAAAGAGGGGATAAAATGGCATGACTTCTTATGCAATGAAATTTAGATGAAGCAAAGGTATTTGGTATTGGACACTAATTTTTCTTACATGGTTCTATCTCTTCAACTCAAGAAAAACAAAATTCTAAATTCTGTATGGAGGAGATAATGTAGCAATATTTCGATGTAGGATAGTTTATTACATAAACAGTATGTACAAATTCTAAACATGAAAATAGTGAGTAAAAGAAATCAGACTCTATTTACATTTACATTTTTTTACAAAATGTTTTTACAAGTGTATTTTTTTTCTCTAAATAACAGGACAAACACATAAGACCAATCTTTTTGTATTACATACATAAATAAATATTGACTTTAAATGACTGTTAATTTCTACAGCCAATTTGGGTAACAGAGAAGCAGTTCTGTTACCTCTACTACAATATAATTAAGTAAAAAGGAAAAATTTTACATATAGAGCTCTGTTAATTACTTTGCAAATTGTACCTTACTAATATATCAGTAGAGGTAATACAGTCGTTACATTTCATGCCCACAACTGAACAATGAGTTTTGGCATGCAAACCCATATATAATCATCAACATCTGCAGGTATCCATTTACATTTTTTAAATAAAGGGTTTTCTTAATTATTGAAAACTACATGCAACAGCTTATTAGTATCATATTCCTGGTTAAAATGCACAAGTTTGCATAACATYATTTTTAGTAATTGATGTTCACAGGTACTGATCAAAAAGGTAGGAACATACTTGGCACATAGTATAAGAAAATGAATTAATAAATAAGTCAATATCACTATGACATTTACATATACACAAACAAAAATAAAAGTTTTCATGGTGTTGTACACAGAATTTAGAACTGTCTGGTTCCCCCACTTTGTTTTACAAGGCCCTGATTTAAGACAGTGTTCAAGCAAACTTTGACATCCATGCTTGATTTGAAGCATCACTAAAGCTCATTCTAACTGCACAGGTTTAATTCCATCCCACTGGCTTCCTTTGTGCCAACCTTCCTGAATCAGGACCTGCTTATTTGAAACTCTCCCTGACTCCAGCTGGGAGCGTGGAAATGAAAGACTTGTGAAATAAATTGAATCAGTATTAAGATTTCTACACAGTTCTGGTAATACCAATGGTAAAATTCCCATCCACATTAGCAATGACTTTGTGTGTGACCACCCCAAATATTAATGTCAATGTCAGCATTGCCACACCATGTCCTCAGCCCTTTCTGAAGCCACTAAGTTAAGGATCTTCAGCATTCAAAAAATCAGACTTCTTATTTATTGTCTGTGTGCTGTATTCTTAATGAATATTCAAGTTGTTACATATGAATGACACAGCACAAGTTCTGTCTTATTTTCTTCTGCTCTATGAACAACTCAAAAATGGTCAAAAAAAAAGATATAATGAGAACAAACCATTTTCTTCTTAAACTAAAAACACAATGAAAAGACATCCACTTCACAAAGCAGTTAGCAAAAATAGCATAATCTTATCATTTTCTTTTAACAAATAAACAAAACGCATTCTGAATTCAACTGACAAATCCATCAGAATTGTACATAGCAAATAATACATTAGTGTGAAGGTGCAGAGTATCTTAAAACATCCCAATATCTCTAATATCATCCCAATATTAACTCTGAATTACAAACATCATTAGAGAAAATAATTTTTTAGCTAATGAATTAAGCAGCAAACTGCAACTCTATTGCTGACTTAAATGTTTAATGTGGCTAAGASTAGCAAATTAGGACTATACCCTGTACGATTCAGCAAAGAAAGCTTTAGTATCAGGCACTAAAAATTTCAAATCTGCACTGCTAAATTTAAAAAAAAAATAATCAGGAAATCCCTCACAGCTGGGAATTTAATATCCATTCATGAGCTTTGTTAACTCTGTATTTTTAATACTTGAAAGGCGAGTTGTTAAGATCGTTTGTAGAAGGAAAAAAAATAATTTACATCTTAGTGGACTCTATATATACTGGATCAATACACTTCTACTTCATCAACTTTTGGTTTTGATCAACCTACTCCAGAAGGGAAAAACTCTCGATGTTCTTCAAAAGGAGCCTGTTACTTTGAAGAGACAAATGCTTCAGAGAGAATGGCATCAGCAAACAGCATCAGTTTGGATTGGTCTCAGAAGCATGAGGGTGTCACAACCCAGGGCTCACAGTTCYTGCTTATCTCCAGTGGTTTGGCATCAACAAAGACCAACATCTGTGTTCCATGATTTACAGTGCCACTCCGAGTGAAATGTAATTTCATTAACAATAATCAGGTCACTGTAGATCTGATGCAGCACAACCAGAACAGACTGTGATTGAAAGGCTTGCACAGACTTCTTCAGAGAAGCCAGAAGTAACTATTTTCCCTGATGCTGATGATCCAACAAACACCACAAAGATCAGTTCTATATTCATCTACCCCCTGTGCCATCCAAACGGCCAATTCAAATTTTGTTTTCTTTGTAAAAACACACACAAGAAACATCTCCACCCTGACAAAAATCTCTCAGACTTTGGCCTTCTGACAAAACTGAAAACAAATCTCTATACTACAGGTTTTTTTTGAAGAAGACTTCATCTGCTAATTTGCTAATATATTTTGGAAAATAGAGGAAGGAATTAAAAGCRCCATAGACTTTAACATACTTAAAGATATTGTTAAAGGCCCAAATCATGTAGAAATACAAAAAGTCTGGGAAAATTCCTGGTCACTAAATGAGTATCAAAAAAGACAACATGCAAAATAGAATGGAAAAGAGCCCTTTAAAACTGAATGTAAAAATGCACAAAAATTGTAATGAGCAAGTTAAAAAATCAGATCGGAAATTAACAGTTTCCTTCTCCACCTGCAGTATTAATGCTATCAACTTCAGTATAGACAAACTGAATATTTCATGAACATCCCAATATGATAAACATAGCTCTGACCCTCGGTTTCAGATTAYTTCTTCATATTTGCTTTTTCACAAAACAGTTTGTCATCAAGACAAGGAAAATACATTTACCACCAACGTCTGAGCTACTCTTACTGAATATCCCAGAAAAATATGAAGCACAGGWGAGTCTGTAGCATCTGCTGGTAGAAAAAGTGGCCACTTTGATAAGTTGGACCCAAGTTTTAAGGTACGTTAGCCACTTGTGATGATTCAAGGAGCAATGGAAATGGTGCCAAAGAATTCAGGAGTGCTTTGAACATCTTGAACAYTAAGAGCTGATTATGGGTATTTGTATGGATGTCTATTGGCAGATACTTTCCACCCTCTCAATAATAAATCCAAGCAGTTTCTGTTTACTATTGAGACATGTGTCTCTGTGTGACAAATTATTCTAGACAGTTTATATTGCACAATAAGGCAACATTAATTCCCTTATGGTTAAAAAGGGCACCCTTCTGTCTAAATTTGAAAAATGAATTCAAATAAACTATAAGCCAATGTTTTCCAGATGCCAGAATATTGTCACATAACTCTTCTGTAAGCAGAACAGCAAAATAGAGCCAATACATCCATCCTTCTGTTCTAAAGATCCACAGGGAAAAGAAATATGTGCATCAAAATTCAAAGCCAAAAAGTAGCCCTACAGCTACTTGAATAACAAATGTGCCCCAGAATTTCAGTTTAACTATTCAGATTTTTAACTAGAAAACTGGTGTTTATATTCATGATAATATTTTACCTTTAAATAGTATATATTAAAAAATTGTGAGATCTTAAAACTTATTCTTCCAGTACCTATTGATTAATTGCATTTATTGCCATGAATTTTAAACTATTCTATTAATTGCCATTTGTTTCTCTGCAATGGTATTTCTACCCTGTATATTCTTTAACTATTAATATCTTTAATTATATTAATAGAAGTCCTACATGATAGAACATTTCCACTTTAGACCAGATGGGTAGTACATCTGGTATCATCCTCCTCCTCCATGGTGACACTGCAGTTATTAAAAACTGGCTATTTTAGAGTTTCTGCTACTGGTATTTATTTTACCTATGTCCTTATTTCTGGCACGTGGTGATATTCTTTAGTAGCAAAATACACTAGGGCTTAAATTGAACACAGRTAGGGCTTTAAGTAAAACAGATAATTTAAATTCACTGATGAGAACATGGCCTCTTTTAAAAGTATGTATACATCACAGGACCTTGAAAAGAGTAACATTGAATACAGTAAGAGAAAAAGTTGTATACACYGCACCGTTTCAACCTACTTTAAACACAGAATATGAAAACATTATAATGAACACAATTCCAATATTCTCACAGGCATTGAGTTGGATGCAATCTTCAGTTTGTTGAACAGTGCTGGTACTGAAATGATACTTGCTGTAGGATTCACCCTGGTCGTGGTGCAAATATAATTCTTCATGGCTAAACTACAGAGAAGTAGATACAGACCGTACAGGATGGCAACTTTCACTGGAAACCTGGGTTCACTGCTCCAACAGATGGGCTGTTACCCAGCCCTCATTGGGGAGCTCAGTTTTTTTTTCCCTCAGTTATCTGTATAATCATCTGAAACAGTCTAATATTTCTCTGGGGGTGGCTTGTAGTGATGTGGATGATGTTGTTTCAGATGAGGCCCTAAAAAAAAGAACAGGAAATTATGCACACATAAAACCCTGGATATGTAATGCCAACATTTATCCAGACTGAAAGAGTTTGCAGACCAAGAGTCTGCAAGTGCAGTGCCTGTGCTGACAAMTATGTGCATGCTCAGTACAGGCAACTTTAGTGGGCCTGTGATAGGACAAAAATATTCAAGCAGATGACTTTTGAACTAATTAATTGTATTCTTTACTTGGCTTTGCAGCACTGACCTTAATTTTGAGAAACACATGAAGTGTTGGAAATGGCCATTAACAGGTTTGCATTGCTTAGAAATATGATCAGGCTCTAGCCAGGCTGGACTGAGTGAACCCAGARAAAACTGATCTTGAAAGCTCTGTAATGCTCCAGACAGCACCTGCAGCACAGACCAACTTTGAACCCCAAATGATATAGGCATGAGCCAAAAGGCTGTGGCTGCAATGAATGGCAAATATTATACTGCAGAAACTGAGTGAGAGAAAGACTGTATTTGCTTTCATCATTGCTGATGAACAGTTTTGGCAGAGAAAAGCCACTATTGTCACACATCTGAAGATCATGGAATGCTATTGTACTGGAATCAGTAAAAACACTAAGGCTTGGAAAAACCCTTTACGTGTGGAAGATTGAAGTTGTGTAACAAGTCAGCACCGCGTGTCAGAAGAGTGTAGCACTTACTGTGGGGTGAAAAGGGAGGGAGGTCGGGTGTTCGGAAGGATTTAATCGTCGCTGGCCCTTCCCCGCCGGTCGTCAGCACCTGAACTTCCAGACGGTACAGCATCGATGGCCTCAGGTTGGGCACGGTGAGGACATAATGGTCCTGAAAACAGATAAAACACTTGAATCCTCACAATGTGTAGAAATAAAACAGCTGTTCTACTCACACACGTCAGTGGTTTAAACAGGTTCTGTCACTGTCAGCACCCACAAATGATTTTCTTAGAATTCCGTTAAAAGGATTTAATCTATGCATCACTTTGTTGAGAGAGTTTATTTKGAATTTTTTGCTTGTTATTCCCTTTGAACAGACATATTTTTAACCATAATGCTATGGTTTCATGGGGACAAGGTTCAAGTTGTTACAGAGATGTTTGCTCAACACTTTAGTGATGTGCTYATCACTAAAAAATGAATAAAAATGTAACTTTCTAACCATTCTTTGTAACAAACATGTTCATTACACAAATTTGTTTTTATTTTGGATTTGCATGTGAATTCTACTGATTGGTAATTTAAGTAGTGGCTGGCCTGGGGCCACTTCTGCAGCTATTGAAAAAAAGGGTGACCACATTAATTTCAGATTTGTACCAGTTACACCATAAGAATCTGTGTTCTGCTCTTAAGACCATTTATGGCATGATGGATTCGAGTTTCACTGCTCCATACTTTTTGTGGTCACTTAGATTTGTGCAAAATAATTTCAAAGTAATTTTATAGAAAAACTTCCAGATGGGAATGTATCTGGCTAAAGACTACAGATATTAAGGAATCAGGAGTCATTAATCTAAATTAAAATCAGAATTATAAATCAAAGCATCATCTGCTTYAAGCTGTAACAAATCACTCATCTTATTCCAGGGCCAATCCTGGGAATGGGACTGTTGGAATTCTACAGTAGTGAACACAGATATAAAAAACTAAAGCATAACACAATAAAAAGGAGTGTTTTAAATAAAACTTTATGTGTMTTTCAGATCTAACTGGACCAAAAAAAGGAACAGAAATTCTAGATAAAATATATGCCTGCTCCTGAAAAATGAAGATGGAAACCAAARTAAATCAATATGTCATGGTCTGTTGATGCTGGCAGCAGAGTTTGAATGAAGGTGTCTTCACCTGCCTCTGCAGAGGAGAAACTGAAATAGCAAAGGCCATCTTAAGAGTAAATAAGGGGAAGAATAAAAATTGTAATCCTCTGTCAATAAACAGTGAAATTTAGCTCCCCTTAAAATTATTTGTCCATCATATTATGGTGCATGTTGGTCGAGGGGAACATGATTTTTTTTTCCCAGAACAACGATTGACTGAAAGGAACAGAATATTCTCTTAAATTCCTCAACTTGAACACTAAATAATCTAGCAAAACTAGAGGATTAGCTAAATTGAACTGTCTGATCATGAAAAGAAAATAAGAACTGTATGTTGCTACACAGATGATATTTTCTTCCCTTCAGGCACTTTTCACACAAAGGTTGCTAATTTGAAAATTTTGAATATTAAAATATTTGATGTGTCATAAAGAATAGTCACTATGCTTTGTATCTCCATCAAGGAGGAAAAATTACACACTTCCTGCTCCAACTTACCTGCAGAGCCAGAGTGTTTGACCTGCATCACCACTAAACATTTCAAGGGAGCCCCAGACACACACACACATTTAGGGAGCCGCTGGTAAAAGAAAATAACAAACAACTTACTGCTGGCAGTATCTGCGACTGTGAAATGATGCTGTTGGGCAAACTGTTCTGCCGACTCTCTGTGGTCACTTCTGCCCAAGTGACCTGAAACCCTGTCATGGGCTGGTGAAGGTCTGCCTTAGATATCTTCCAGGAAAAATGGCCAGTGATGTTCCCTTCCTGAACAATGAAGGACGCAGACAGATTCTCRGGTTTGGCCAACACTTTGGGTAGAACTGGCACTGTAAATTTGGAAAGCAAAACAAAAAAAAGATAAGCTAAACTTTGATAGATAATCTTTAATAACATAAATTTATTGTTGAGAGCAAAATTAACCTAAAAAAAATTAAACTGAAAAAGCAGCTTGCATCTGCAGCTAAACACTGAAAAGATGCATCATGCCACTATAATCATGTTTACAYTTATCATCTACCATTATAATAAATACAATTGGTACATTATTTTATAATAAATACGTTCTTCCTTACAAAAAAAAAGGTCATAAATGTTATTGTATGTCCACTAAAACCACACTTAATTGACAAAAAATTGACAAATAAAATACCAGCCAAAATCTAAACACCTCTGCATTTCTATTGATTTTCACATAAGCATTAGTCATATTTTTATTTGTTCTGAACCTTTGATTTCCTGTTCTAGAACTGCCTTTAAAGACTCTCTTTGGGTGACTATAAAAGCATTTGGAATTATTCGGTAGTTCTCCAGATGATGCCTTACCTCCTTCTGCAGGACAATTAATGTGCTTGTGTTTTTTGTCTTTAAATGCAGWGCAAGGTGGGGTAACAAAGAAAGCACTCTCAGCCTTAAAACGACCTTTAGATTTTGCAGGCAGAACAGTTACTTTGTATTTGCACGAAAATGACAGGTCCTTCAGAATAATGTAGTTTTCCTACAATAAGAAAAACAAAAAGATCACATGCTGCAAATAGAGCCCAAGGGGAAAAGAAGAAAAGAAAAATACGAACAAATTGAAAAATAATTTTGGCAAAAGATGAAAAGTTTTCTCAAAAATATATTTTCTTGGATGTTTAACACATGCCAATGTGGTGGTTTTAACTCAGAGAAAAAAGCAAATTTTGTCAGTGTTATGATTATTTTCAGTAGTAAAATATATTAGCATGGTATTTCAATATGTCCTTCCATTCTACACAGTTCCTTTGACAAACTGCATCAAAGCAACTGAATTCCAATATTTAGAACAGTCTCCCTGAATGATGGCAGTGGGGGTAGCAATGTGAGGATATAAATGCTAATCGAATTAAATAAATGTAAGAAAGCTGAGTTAAGCTGCTGTAAATGACAGGCTTCATCTATGTTTAACTTTTTAAAAGCACATTTAAAGTTCAGCATGGCATTATAGATGCATATTTTTCCACTTCAGTACATTAAGTACTTCTATATTCTTATCAGGAAGAAAAACTCCATAGTTAAATACAAAGCACAAAGTCTCTGTTTAAGGACAATGAGTGGAGAAGAAAACTTTACACAAAGTGAAAGTGTCCTGATAAACTCTTACTATTGTCTGAAGTACTTTTGAAAATTACACTCTGAAAATTTAGCACAAATTTTACATGGAAAAAAAATGGTTGGTTAGTTTTTATTCTGGAAAAATCTCTAAAAATACTTTAGTGGCTAAGGTCAAAAGTCTTTTACTACCTTTTAGATCTTTAATTCCCTTCAGAATCACTAATTTTCCATGTTCTTCTCCATAATTCCCTCTTTTCTAATTGCAAATTAGTCTAACCTTCACTTGGAAGGTCATTTTCRATTGGACATACAGATTGGGCTGAGACTGGACTTGACTCCCTGACTTCCACCTGCCAGGAGAGCGGTCCAACAGGTTTGATGTCTCTTTAGGATTGTGACAGGACTATTTTTATTTATCCTGACAGGGCCTAAAGGCTCAACACTGAAAGCATAAGGCCTCTACCCTCCYTGACCTATTCAAAACCAGTTCTAAACTTTTGGTACATCACCCTTCATCTGTTTGCTTGTAGTTAGTTTCTTTCTCAAAATAAACTCAGTTTCACAGAGTAGATTGCATGAATTACCATAAAATTATTAAAGGAAATAAGTTCATTAATCCCACAATGCATTTGGACAGATGTCCAAACAGTCTTTCCTGACCTCTAGTGGAAATAAACTTCTTTAATATTAAGTTTTTCCTCCTATCTCCAATGTGCATATATTGAAATATTGGGAATGATCATAACATTATGTCAAAATAATTTTTTTTTAATCAGCCTCTAATATTTGCTCTGCTGACCCCATGAAGCAGTAAATCTTACAGGCTAGTAATACTGTGTGAGAAATTACATCTTTTGATTTACTCTTGTACATGCCATTAACTCCCCTGAATTGATGGGGTAGTACAGATCAGGGTAAGAAGGAAAAGTGAATTGAGATTTTGTCCATTCTCCATAACACACTAAATCAATTGTGATGCACCAATCACATTACTCTGTTGTTCAAATAATGTGTTACAGAGACAGATGACACTAAATTGCCTACAAATTGAGTATGAAGTGCTGCCACTGTAATATATATTTGGACTGACRTGTACTTAGATGGAGCTGTTCTCTCTATCTGATATCTGTCTGACTCCCAGATTTAACATTTAGTATTTGTCACCTACAGTTCTTCTTTTCATATCTATTATTCTCCTCAGGGTTGTAAAACTCACCTGCACATATAAAACAAAAYCTGGTTTATTAATTACTATTATTACTGTCCAGGATTTGCACTATGCTAAGGTCCCATATTATTAATTGTAGATAAAGCTCCATGTTCTATATGCTGTAGAAATATATAAGGACATTGTTAACAAGTTTGCGTGGTCTCATTTYCTAAATAACAACAAAAACAAATAAAGTATTTTAGCCTAGTGTGGATTTAAAAAAACCAAGCAACCCAAACACAGTCCAGATACATAATTTTTGTGTTTTGCCAMAAAGGAACATAAAAAAGAAAACATCCTTACTGATCAATGAAACAGGGTATAACACATATTATGTCATGTTACAGGACCAGCATTTGTCTTGCTGCCTAGAAACTACTCAGGGTCAAGCAGAAGGAGAGTGGACACTTACATAAGTCAGCTCTGTTACTTTCCTAAGTCCTTTGGTGTCATTGTGTGCACAGGACTCCGGTAACCAGTGGACTTGGAATTGATTCATGCTGATATCTAAATGATATAAAAAGAGAGGAAAATATATCTATTATATTTTCACCATTGCAACCTTTTCTGGCTTCTCTGGATAAACAGGAGTTTTAAGTACTGTAGAGTTGCCAATTCTTCACTTGTACCTAAGCAATCTTTAATTTAATGGAGAAAATATTACATACCAATGTAATTTAAACCTTGTATCAGACAATGGAGATAAAATTTAAAATAGTGATACTGCATTTTCAGATATGTTACCACATACTGCTTACATTAAAAAAAATAAAAAATTGAGCATTAAGAAAAAGAATCTCAATGTTTCTACTTCAAATCATCCTGCAAATAATGGGACTGACTTTGTGTCAATTGCTGGACTGTTTAAATTGCTAGAGCATTGCAATACTGCTGCCTGGCACTGCTTGAGAAATCTGTGCTTGAAGATATGTGAAAATGCCTGTAAATCCCTGAGCTTTCTTCTTTCAGAATACACCATAAAATCTGTTCAGTATCTGTCCAAATAAAATTCTAGTCTTGCCTCTCATGAGTAATACCAAAGGCTTAAGTTTACTCTCATCTAAATCAATGACAAAACTTGCTGCATTATCAACAGTATAAGCTTTCAACTTATTTCCAGCTCTTCTAGCTTTTTGTMTAATAATGCTTGAACAAGGAAGCAAAACAAAAAGCAATAAAGAATTGACAAAAGAAGGAAAACTCATTAGGTAGTGCAAGTAGTTCCTGACATTTTTCTGGATTTCATTCTCTATAMAGATATGCAAAATTATGTCTGTTATTATTAATTAGCTCGGTATGACATAGCCACTAATGTGCCAGACCGTGGGTTTCAGGAGGGAAAACAAATATCTCTGACGCCTTAAGGCTGATCTGGCATTAGACTGCTATGAGCACTTTGGATGCAGAAGAAAAGGATTGTAAACTAAGGAGAAAATAACTAGTGTAGGAAACTAGCTGAAATGGCCCCTTGAAATAGATTTTTGCAATAACTGTTCTTCATTACAACATGTATGCTAATTATTTTTGCAATTTCTTTGGAAACAATATTTCTTTCAAAAAGAAACCTATTAAAAAATACATTTCCTGCTTTGTGATTTTTCCCTCTCATTTAAAATAAATAAAGAAACGGATGTGCTTTTGCTTGTCTCTTCAAGCTTTCCCACTTGACATGCCTATTGGATGAAGACAAAAATTCACAGGGCATTTGTAAATAGGTTCCATCATTTGTAAATAGATTTAATCTCTTATTAAAGAACCGATTYGCAAACACCTGCAGTTTCTGATAACTTCTGTATTTGAAGAAAACAGAAATAGGTTAAAGAAAAAGATAGAAAAAAWWRRAAAAAAAAATTAACATTTTTTAGACATTTTTATATATTATATATTTATATATAAATTATATATATATAAATATTATGTATATATATATGAAAGAATAGAAAGAACAGAATATAGAAAATTACAAATAGGTTAAAAAAATCTATCAGCTTCCACTGTGAATGGGGTAGGTACTGGATGAGCCACTCAAGCTGCATCCAGCTGAATGTCAGCCACGGCCACCAGAGCCAAGGATTCTGGATTAAGCTCAGCTGAGGTTAATACACTGAGCCCACAGCCACATCTTTTTCCTAAAAAGTCATTTGAGTAGTTAATATGCACAGAACATTCATTACTTAATGAGACTGATTTTGGACAGTTTTATCAGAAAACTCTGCTATCCCTTCTAAAATAAGTACAAAACACTGCCAAGAAACTGTCGGACTCCTTCAGTCTGCGTCCCTGATATTTCAGATGTCACAGAATCAATTGCCTTCTGAATATCTGGAGTTTTCTTGATTCTAAATTTTCTGTTAGGAGTCTTTCTAAAGCTTTTAAACTTCATTGTTCTCATGGTTAGAACGTCTATCATTAGACATTCACACTTTCCAGAACTCAAAATATTTGTACAGAAACATTGAACTTGAAGCACATAATAAGTACTAGCACTCAATTGAGCAGCTCTAAGCTTGTGAAATTAGTCAATAAAATAGCCACTTAAGTAAGAACACTAGACAGCTTATCCAAATAATTACTTTTAGTTTAAATTTATGTAAAGAGAGAAAAAAAGGCAATCCAGAACAGTTACTTTAAAAATCTCTTAATGATACTGACATGGAAATTATCTCCAGATGCTCAAGCTAAAGACTTTTAGATCTCTAAGACAAATGCATGTAACTAATCTTTTCAAATAAACTAATAGTTGATGTTAATTATCTTGACTATGACTTTTAAAGTAGATTTTCTGAAGTATAAAATGAGTTTATAGAGTTTAGAAGAAGCTTCTATGCAGATACCTCATGATCATGTTCCTTAAATCCCATATATACTTAGCTCTTTTGCTCAATAAGGGCATGCAGTTAACTTTTTCGGACAGAAATCTTACATCTCTAATTAGAAATATATGGATCAGGGGATGCTCTAAAGCATTTTTTTTTAATTCACTTCAAACTGCCTTTATTTTTACAGGAGAAGCATCACAAAACTCTATTGATAGCGTTAAGAAAGATGTTCTTAAGCAGATTTTTGTGCTTTCGCCCTCTCTTCAACTTAAACTCTTTGGTTCMATTTTAATAAAAACAAATAAATATATTCCCGATTTTTCTGGATGCAAAAAAATGCATTTATTCCACATCTTCAAGCTGAAAAAACAGATCAAAACTTTACTAATGCCAATGCCAACTACATCTGTTTGCCACTTGGAAAAGTTCAGGTTCATATGCATAATTTAAGGATCTTAAATCAGTAAGTAACAAGWACTTTAACACAGCCTAAGCCATGGCTGCACAATGGTTACTGGGCTAAATCTCATCACATCCCCACAGAATTAAAAACTCTGAGTATCCCTCGGAAAAATAATCCACAAAAATTCCAAGTAACTCTGCAACTTCTCCTAGATGGAATTTCTAGTTTAAATGGTTCTACAGTTTATATAAAATAAACTACATTGTAAAGATGATTTCTTTTTCTCATCTTTATCAACCTCTTCCACATTTCTGTTTTGTACAAATACTTTAGTGCTGGGACTATGAGTAATTTCATCTAATGTGGTCTTTTGTTTGGTTTTTTTTTWAYGTACTACTGCAGACAGCTACCTTCTCTGCCTCAAATATTTTTTTCTCCTTTACATTGCACAGTTACTGTTCCAGGAGAGTGCCAAATTTCAGGTTTTTAGCTGAAAAACTGGCATAGCATGGGCATAACAGCACTGAAATTTGTTCATGCAGCCCAGCATCACCATTATGGAGCTACTSTCACTCCAGGAAACCAGGTAAAGAGATTTAAGAGGTATTTATTTCTTTGTATCCTGTGATACACAGCAAGAAAATCGCAGCAGACTTGTTTTGGGAATTGGGAGTAATTCTGACATTGGTTTGCTYGAGGTCTTCAGGCAAAACAGTTCAAGGCTCCTTAACTCTGTTCCACCCCTGTCAAGTGGTGGAAATGATAATGGTGTGTGTTCTAAAAGTATTTCAGCTCTTGTATATTATTCTGAGGTAGGTCTCTACTATTTGGTACAAAAATGCCAATTAATACCAGCTGTGACAGCACTATTATGCAGGCAACCAAATTACAAAAACTTATTAGAAAGGAAAATCAAATGGGATTTGCTGGAAAACAAGGTTTCACAGCAGACATGTTCAACAACAGCAGCTCAAATTAAGGTTTAATTACAATAAAAATGTCWGGCATCAATAAACACAGTAACATCAAGTTGATTTCTGCATCATGACAGGATTGAAAGCAATTAACATGCAGTGTCTGACAGATTGTCCCATTATAATAAAAGAATATATAAAAGTAAATATTATAAAATAAGACATATGAAAACCTTTACCTGCTAGCATAAGATTATTAATTTAATTAAAATAACTAACAGCTGTGAAATGAGTATTTCAGTAAAAAAAGAGACTACATTCTGCATTTTTTGTCAACTACCTCAACAGACTCCCTTCAAAACATATACATATAATTAATATGCTCACTGTATGTGAAAAGGAGTTGCTATCAAAGCTTGGTAGATAATGAGCCATATGTAAACCTGATGTCTTCATTCAAAGGTAACTTTTCTTTAAACTGAATGCCAGAAGAAGGATGAAAWATCTGTGAAATTATTCAGTGAGAAAATTATTGAAATAATTTGTTCCGTGTGCAGCTAAACCTTTAAGTTTATTATATTTTGTTAGATCTCATAATTCATATAGCAAACCACTGTGATTTTTTGTGACTGGCCATGTTTTTTGTTTTACTTTGCATGCTGGGGGCATTGTTTTTACAAGCTTCTGAGCATGCTGGCCATTATTAATAAAGCACTTGGGCATATGAACAGTTGTGTTAACTTCAATAGTTAAGGGTAGCCAAAGGATCAGGCCAGCAAGTTTAGAACCTTTAGAACCTAGCAACATCAAGACATTAATGGCCATCAAAACCATAGTTAAAAGTCAGTYTTGAACATGTCTTTGATGGTCTTATACTAACAGGAAGAAGGAAATACAAAAAACTAAGTTCCTTTCTGGATTATGTGTCTTGCAGGATTACTGCTCTAAAAATAGGCTACAACAAAGAGATAAGGTTTCATATTTACTATCACAACACAGGGCAGAATCTGCTCAGGGCACATAATGTACATGTCTCACTATCTACAAAATTGATTGTTTCTACTGTAAAGTTATAGTATGATTTTGCAGAGCTCTTTTATAAATCCTGGAAATTTAAAATTTATACATCATCCAGGAAAAAAAAWATATTTACCTCCCTATATTGAATGGGGAAGCTGTAGCAATGTTACATTGTGAAATTAATAATGTCTTTCATAAAGTAAAACTTATTATCAACTCTGAAGTGCCCAAAGATATTATACAACTAAAAGGCTTCCTGARGAAATGTTCTGCTGCTCTCTCAGGCTCATGTTCATCTGATTATTGGAACAACATTACTTTTCATGTCTATACAGACATCTACAATATGCA